ACCCTCATATTTCATAAGATTATGTTACTGCAACTTTGTGTACAATGAATTGAAAATTAAAGTAGGAATTTAGTTTGAAACAGTATAAGATACTAAAGGGAGTGATGCAAGAAGCCTAACTAGGTAAGAGATGGATGGCTACACTGACATGTTTAAATATTTTTGCAAATGTTCAACAGTATGCTTGCCTATAGATAAGACTTTCTAGGTTTATATATGTTAATGTATGGCTATGGCATTTAAACTTCTGTTATCCAGGCTGACAACAGGAAGAGATACAAGGAGGAAAACAATGACCATCTTGACGACTTCAGAGCAGCAGAACTGGCCTGGCACAAGCACAAGCAGCTCAATGAATCCATTATTGTGGCACTCTTTCAAGGCCAGTTCAAATCTACAGTGCAGTGTCTTACATGTCACAAGAAGTCCCGGACCTTTGAGGCTTTCATGTATTTGTCATTACCACTTGCATCCACGAGTAAATGTACGCTGCAGGTACGCTGGCACTAGAGAGAAACAGCTCTTGAAGTAAAAACATTCCTCTGTCACTTCACTATGTTGTTGCTTCTGCTCAGCCTCTTGTTGAAGGGGTTGGCCAATATTCCAGCTTGATTTGCACTAACCTGAAGGATGAACAGATCTGAGTCTTCATTATTTTTTAATTCTTCTAAAGTTTTAAAAAATAGGTCATTCCTTAAAAGTTTTAAAACACAAGCAGGATGGAAATGTTTAAGCTGCAGTAGCAGAAAAGACATGTATACTAATCGTTTTTGTAGGTCATGGTATAAATATTTCTGTGTTTTTTAACAAAATACTGTAGGTATATGTTGAAGGACTTGCAGCTAATTAATATACGCAGGAACTTCCACACATGAATTTAACTCACTTTTCCTCATTTTTGTGAAACACAGCTCACAGATAATTGATGCAGTTTAACAACCAAATAGGAAACAGACATTTTTGCTACACTTTCATGAACACCTGCCCTTCACGATCTGTGTTATGTATTTTGTTTTAGGAATGCCTTAGATTGTTCTCCAAAGAAGAAAAGCTTACTGATAACAATAGGTTTTACTGTAGCCATTGCAAAACTCGAAGGGATTCTTTGAAAAAAATAGAAATTTGGAAATTACCACCTGTTCTTCTTGTGCACTTGAAAAGGTAAGAGAAACGGTGATCTGTGAATATTAATTAGGGTGAAGTGACCAGGCTTTGATGGAGATTGATTGTTCCAGTGCAATAGCTAACCATTTTTAATTAGAGAAAGCTCTGGGTGTATTTCCAGTTGCAATGTTGCAAGAATTTTATTTTTACCTGATGCCTGTTTTGTTAGGCTGTAGGTCACAGTGCACTTTTACAAGTAATCTCTTTCCATTTGTAGTAAGGAACACGTGCACAGGCATTAACAGCATTTAGGGCCAAATGCTTTAGTTGAGATCATGTCCTGCTGAAAAACAGGGAAAGCAAACATGCTTAACATTCTTAAATAGCTTGTGAACAACCTGTAACTTACAATGATGCCTTTTTTTCTCTAGATTTTCCTATGATGGAAGATGGAAGCAAAAGCTTCAAACCTCTGTAGATTTCCCATTGGAAACTCTTGACCTTTCACAGTATGTTATTGGTCCAAAGAATAACTTGAAGAGATACAATCTGTTTTCAGTATCGGTAAGTAACCACATCACGCTTCAAAGTTCAGCTGGTCTTTATGCCAAGACTTGGGTTAGTTTGTGTGATTCATCTAGGTTTCCAGGCTGCCTGCAAAGCTTCAAACCTCTGTAGATTTCCCATTGGAAACTCTTGACCTTTCACAGTATGTTATTGGTCCAAAGAATAACTTGAAGAGATACAATCTGTTTTCAGTATCGGTAAGTAACCACATCACGCTTCAAAGTTCAGCTGGTCTTTATGCCAAGACTTGGGTTAGTTTGTGTGATTCATCTAGGTTTCCAGGCTGCCTGCCTTAGAATCAGAGAATGGTTTGGGTTGGAAGGGGCCTTTAAAGGTCATCTAGCCCAGCCACCCTGCAGTGAGCAGGGCCATCTTCAACTAGACCAGGCTGCTCAGAGCCCCGTCCAGCCTGGCCTTGGATGTTTCCAGGGATGGGGCACCAACCACCTCCCGGGGAAACCTGTGCCAGTGTTTCACCACCCTCATTGTAAATGATTTCTTCCTTATCTCCAGTCGAAATCTATCCTCTTTTAGTTTAAAACCATTACCCCTTGTCCTGTCACAACAGGCCCTGCTAAAACGTTTGTCCCTGTCTTTCTTATAAAACCCTCTTCAAGTACTGAAAGGCCACAGTAAGGTCTCCCTGGAGCCTTCTCTTCTCCAGGCTGAACAGCCCCGACTCTCACAGCCTTTCCACACAGCAGAGGTGCTCCAGCCCTCTCATAGTTTTTGTAGCCTCCTCTGGCCCTCCTCCCACAGGTCATTCTTGTGCTGAGGGCTCCAGAGCTGGACGCAGGACTCCGTGTGGGTTTTCAGCAGTCCCCTCCCTCAACCTGCTGGCCATGCTGCTTTTGATGCAGCCCGGGATACAGTTGGCCTTCTGGGCTGTGGGTGCGCATTGTCGACTCATGCCCAGCTTTCCATCCACCTGTACCTTCAAGTCCTTCTCGGCAGGGCTGCTCTCAATCCCTTCATCCCCCAGCCTGTACTGGGGGTTTGCCCCGACCCAGATGCAGGACTTTGCACTTGGCCTTGTTGAACCTCATGAGGTCCACATGGGCCCACTTCTCCAGCTTGTCCAGGTCTGTCTGTATGGCATCCTATCCCTCAGGCACGTCAACTGCACCACTCAGCTTGCTGTCATCTGCAAACTTGCTGAGGGTGCACTCAATCCCACTGTTCATGTCATTAATAAAGATATTAAACAGTACAGGTCCCAGTCTGGACCCCTGAGGGACACCAGTTACCACCACTCTCCATCTGGACATTGAGTCGTTGACCACTGCCTTCTGGATGCAACCATCCAACCAGTTCCTCATCCACGGAAGAATCCACCCATCAAATCCTTATCTCCCCAATTCAGAGAGAAGGATGTTGTGGGGGACCCTGTCAAAGGCCTTACAGAAGTCCAGCTAGACAACATCCATAGCTCTTCCCTTGTCCACTGATGTAGTCACTCCATCACAGAAGGCCACTAGGTTGGTCAGGCAGGACTTGCCCTTGGTGAAGCCACGCTGGCTGTCTCGAATCAGCTCCCTGTCCTCTATGTGCCTTAGCATAGCTTCTAGGAGGATCTGCTCCATGATCTTCCCAGGCACTGAGGTGAGGCCTTCTGACCTTGGCCTGTCATCCCACAGCCTGTCAGGGGCAAGCCTGGTGTTATCCCCCCTCCCCCTTCAAGTCTTGTTGCAGATGAAGCTGTATTCTAAAAAGAATGATTGGTATTTAGTAAAAATCTCACAAATCTAGTTCATTTCCCTAACAAGGGAAGAAATGGCAGGTTTTGAGGCCCTTAATTCTTTTCTCCTTTTCTTTTTCTTCTCTTTTTCTCTTCCTGCTTCTCTCTCTTCTCCTCTCTGTTCTGACGTTTACAGAATCATTATGGCGGGTTGGATGGAGGGCACTATACAGCCTACTGCAAAAATGCTTCAAGACAGCGCTGGTTTAAGTTTGACGACCATGAAGTATCGGAGATCTCAGCATCATCTGTGAAATCCTCAGCTGCATACATTCTCTTTTACACTTCTTATGAACAGCGAGCAGTGGATATGGCCACATAAAGTGCTGTGGGTTAAGAAAACTGGTTTTCTTTTTATGAGAGCAAAGTAGGTATGGGAACGCATACAGATATGCAAAACTCTGGCAGAGGTAGTCACTGGCAGATACGGGAATGGTTGCAGCAGCTTTTCTGCAAGCAAGCTCTTTCTGGTCCGTACTAATGCTTAAAAAGCAGGAGACTGGTTAATAATGCTTGTGGTAATCCTGCCATCTGTGAAACCATTTAAAAAGCATACTTGCATTACCATTTATTTAAAAAACTATATTTTTAGTCTGCTCCAAAATTAAATTCTAGCTTAGTCATCTGAAATCTATTAACAGGTAGTTTGAAGTGTCTTAAAATCCCAAGGCATATCTTGATTTTTATTTTTTTCTTCCACTGTTATGGCCTTTTCACATTTCTAACCTTAAGCTTGATTCTACTGTGAATACTCTAGAATGATGTAAACAGTTAGGAATGTAAGTGTACATATTGATTGCATACTTGCACATCAGAACTATGTATATAATAAAATGTTGTCCTTTTTGTGAGAATCTCTAAAATTCAGAGGATTGCGTTTATTTGCCAGCTCTAAATAATTGCAACACTACTTAATAAAAAAGCAGAGCTGTATTTTTTTTCTGTTAGCTTTTGTCAATATTTGTGCACTTCAGAGTTAACTCAAGATTTTCCTTTCTAATTTTTTAATATAAATTTTCATGTACACATGCATTAAAAACCTTAATGAAGAAACGATTTAAAAATACATCCCGTTAAATGTACATTTGGGTTTGGTGTTTTCGTTCTCAACTAATTGTATAACGGTGAGGATTCTGCGTAATGACAGTCGGAGTCACACAGTTTAAAGGTTCTTCAGATGGAAAACCACTACTTTGTGTAGAGCTGATCAGTTTAGAATCCATTTTAGTTGCATCTCGTGCCTTTCCCTGCTCTGGGTTTGTCAGTTTCTGAAAGGCAGCTTAAAACAACCTCATTTACTTCAGCAAGAGAGGAACAGGAAGGTTTAGGTACGTTCGCCTGTCTGCTGAGCACCTGTGTTCTTGTGGGGCTGCAGGAGGCTGTCACGGAAAGCAGCCCTTTGAGCTCACGCGGTTGGAGCGGGCTCGGACTCTGTGACTCCGCTCTCTAGAAATCAGTTCCTGAAAGACCACAACAGACAATCGGTAACGCGAGTGCTCTCATTTATTGATGAACCTGGACTTGGGTAATGCTGCCAGCACATGCTGGTTGCTGGCCTACTCACTGTCCGTTTTCCGCGGGCAGCAGAGCTCTAGTGGGTGCAGAGGAGGCCTTGGGAGGCGTAGAAGAGGAGATACGCCGTGTCAGTCTGCACTGAGGAGCTGGGGATCTCGGTGATCTGTGCATCGTCAAAGCTGTACCAGGCTTCGGTGACTGAGTGCTTGCAGAAGGCCGTGTAGTGGCCATCATCCAGAAATCCAGAGTGGTTCTGTAACAAACACCACAGCCGGTTACAGCAGAAGGTGCCTCCTTTCTCCTTGCAGGCAAAGCTAGGAATTGGCAATCATTTTGTGTTTGCGCTTGGAAAAGGTGGAAGACTCTAGACCCCCTTTGGGCTACAGCAAGGAATATTAATTCAAATCAATGCTTTAAACCAGAGCAAACAGCTGATAATTGTGCTTCTCTATTTTGCAACATTAAATTTGCAGCCTGGCTATTGGCCCTGATACGGGTCACCATACGCAGGCCCTGCTTGCTGCAAGTGATGGGAAAAGAGACAGTTTCGTCCTTGTTGAGAGACAGGATCCACGCAGGATCAGCGTGTGAGTTCACGCCAAGGAAGCGGAGGCAGCTCCAGCCAGGCGGGATGCGCCAGGAGCGCGGGCTTTTTGAAATGGGGATGGGGCGGGGAGGAGAGAGGTGAGAACTTTCCTTGTCTTTAGTTACATGCTGTTGCTGGGTTATGTCCGTGTCAGGTTAAAAAATAAAGAAGTATGAAAAATTATATATATATGTAAAAATATAGAAATCATACATATAAAAACCTTGTTATGGTATATTGTTAGTGGAGCAGAGAGGAAGCACGCTCTCTCACATGCTCTAACTGCGGTATTCAAGTGCCTGGAACCGAGGTGACTGTTGCTCTGATGGAGTCCAAGCTAACGCGGGGGTTTTGTCTGCCCCAAGGCGGGGCACCGCAAATGGAAGCGGGGCGGCAGCACTCACCACGACAGCACACAGGCTGTACGCTGTGGCCTGGCAGGCGAGCAGGGAGCTGTAGGGAGCGAGATCCAGATTGCTGAGTGGATAGCAGATCTCCGTCGAGAGTTTCCTCCTGTGCTTGCCCTGCCATTCAAACCTGAAACAAGGTTTTGAACTGTTTTAAGTAACGCTCAACCTCTTGTATTGTTGTGGTTGCTTAACTGACTTTCCTAGGGGAAGGGAAAAACAACATCGGACTACTTGGCATTTTGAAATCGAAAGATCTGTGTTAGTATCGAGTACGACTGTAAACCAACAGAACAGGCACTCAGCCCGCAAGAGACGTCCAGCAGGAAAAGCAAAGATCTTGCTTCCTGAGCCTTCCGTCCACTAGAAACAGCAGACGCCAAATCTCTGCTCACTGTCACTGTGTCCTAAAGGCTTTGGCCTGAACTGTTGTCAGCTCTTCCTTTGTGCCAGGCTCCATCCCTCTTTCCTCTGCAACTCTTAGTACAACACTGCTTTCAAACGTTTATAATGCAGCCAAGGGCTGCAGCTGGGGACCATAGGTTCATTTGAGCATGTCAAGGAAAGCAGATGCTGAACGGGAGATTAAATAATAACTTTACATAACGTGGTTCTGGAAAGCCAAGTCATCCCAGACTAATTTTCTTTATAGGTGGGAAGATGCCAAGAATAAATTCTTAAGAATAAATTCAGTGTATGGCCACGCCTGGCTAGTAAAGGCTGCCAGCCAGGAGCTCTTGCACCGATGCGCTGCTCTGTTCAGTAAACCCGGGTGCTTAGACCTGGTTCAGTTCAGGGGCAAAGCCAGAGTGTCTCAGCTGCAGCAGGGACAAGCAAAATGCCCTGTTTCAGCCCTGCACGGAGAACCCAAGCCACAAGCTCTCCCACTTGCCCTAGGAACCCACGGTTGCAGCGATGCCTGACCATACGAACCGCTGCACGCATCTGCAGTCATCCACCCCTCTGTGGAGTTTTTCTGCCCGTTGGAGAAGAGATCCCAGATGTCGTGAGTGGAATCTGGTGGGCTGGAGTACAGAGCAAGGCGGAACACATCGTCAGGTTTAGGGAGTGGAATGTGTACGTTTGACAGGTGTATTTCTGTAACTGCCCATTTAGCTTTTAGGCATCAAAAGCACTAAAAACATCCATTTGCACTGATTTTTTTTTTTTCCTCTTATGCAAGTGACTGTCCTTCATGTCTCTCAAATTCCAGGAAATGGGCATGTCCTACCCCATACAGACTGTACCTCTTTAGGTGAAAAATTATGATCTGCGGTGCCTTGGTTATGGTGCCCTTTACTGCAGCGTCTTGTTTAGTTCCACACCAGGAACAGTAGATTTGGTTGTTCCAAGTCAGCGTGTCTTGCTGAAAGAAGCATTTGAGACAGTCCTGTCCAGAAAAAAAAAAAAAAAAATCCATTGATCAGACAGATCTCCACCCCTGAAGGTCCTAAGCGAGGTAAGAGAAGGGTTTGCTGGAATTTGGAGCGCTCTCCGCAATTAAAGCATAGAATCACAGAATCATAGAATGGTAAGGGTTGGAAGGGACCTTAAAGACCATCTGGTTCCAACCTCCCTGCCATGAGCAGGGACATCTTCCACTAGACCAGGCTGCTCAGAGCTCCATCCAACCGGGCCTTGAAAACTTTCAGGGAGGTGGGG